TTGGAACGCCGGACAATGTCTGTCTCCGGATGCTTATTTCAAGCCTTGCATAGTGACTTCCATTATCTTGTACATCAATTTACCATGCAGTGTGCAATGAGGGAAATTTTTACAGGAAAGCAGCTATAGCATATCTATCTTTTTTGATTTCCAACTGTTTTAATATATACATCCTATAGCACAAGGTTTTGCAAAATGCTAAATGTGATACAATCTGGAGGAAAACTGCAGGAGAGACAGCTGAGATTTTTCCTAAAATTTTACCTTTTTATCAAGGATGATTTGATTGGCTTCACCAATTTCACTTAACATCTGATAACTAGACGGGACTTCATATCTGTCTAGACTTCTCTTCTCGGCAAACTGACTCTAAAAGTACATATATATATACATTTGAAAAAATATACCCATTTGCGAACCTTTTGAAATAGTCCAAAGCTGACTACATATCTAGCTTTTAATTTTGTCTGCCAGACACTAAAAAAAAATTTCACACTTTAGTATTTATTTTCTGCTGAAAAAAGCAATTATGGAATCCAGTGACCACCAGTTGCTTTTGTTTTGTTTAAAAATTGGATCATTCCTAGGACCTCAGTGATCAAAATCTATGACTAAAGGGAGATAATCAATAAACCATCAGACAACAACTAACTTCATAAGCAGATTACCTACCAGATCATTCATTTCTTTATGTAATCTTAGAGCTGATTTTTTGGAGGCAATGGCAAACACAAACTTGTCCATGGAAGTCTTGTCCATATCCACTGTTATAATCTGTTCAAAAAATAATGACATAATTATTATTAATAAATGCAGGTTCACCATACATGTTCCGAAGTAATTTTTCTTTGCATTGTGTTCAGTTAAATCTTGAATTAAAGATGGGTTTCCTTATTTTTTTAGTGTCAAATTAAGCAAATTATTCGATTAATTGTTTCTAATGAATTATCGTGTATTCTTAATCATATCATTATGATCTTATTGCATATAATTAAGAGTTCTAACCAATCATAAATGTTCATATATGTACAGTCTGGATAAACAAAAAAAGACTTTTTGGCCTTTCTTGATCGGTCACTCATTGGAATTCTGCTGGTAATTTTCTTCTAATTTAGCTAATTATGAATTAATTATTGAAATGTGAGACAAACTGATATTTTTCCAAGTCATTAGAGCACCTCTACTTTCTATTCATATAAGTATTAGCATTTTCATTTTCATAAATGAAAATGTAAGGGAACCCATCTTTAATATTAATGTTAACAAATGGGAAAACATTAGACTGTGCTATTGTCGGCCAATTTGATTTGGTTTTGATTTGCTAGTACAATTCTATTCTAATACAATACAGCTAATAGAACTTATGCCTTGAGAGCTAAATAGAAGATAGCTTGCCAGGCAAAGTAATATACGCCCACTGGCAGCTTTGATTTTAAATAAAAATATTTGGCAGTACAGTAACAATTACCAGTATGAAATATTCAACCTTCAGACATACACTTCTTTTGAACTTTTTGAGGCGATACTGAATAATATTACCAAGTTTCATCAAAATCTGTCAAGAATTGGGCCTTCTAGAGTGTTTACGAGCTAAAAATTGAACATGTTTTTGAGAACAAGGGCAATAACTCATACTAATTATTTTTTGATCTTTTTGATTTTAAAAGAGGGTTCATCTTTGGGTGAAAACAAACACTCACA